ACCTGATACATAGCTATCACCTTAGTCACCACAACAGCTCTCCAGCTGGGCTAAATGAGTATCATTCAGTCTAATTTATTTTCAGAGACACTATTGACAAAAGAGGCAAGGGCATAAGCTATTAAGATCGGCACAAATATGCCCCATTCACTTCACCTCACGATGCCCAAAAGCTTCAGACAAAACAATCCAACTGGAGAAACCCCGATTGGAAGACTATAGTTAGATTACCGTATGGCATCAAGACAACAGAGAGGAAACCCAGCCTTCTTTCTACTGCTCTCACTGGGCAATAAGCTTACAGCTTGGCAGGAAGCCAAAGTATGAACAGAGGAAAGCCTGTATTAGGCATGTTTGAGGAAGCAAGCTTGCTCTTGCCAGTATAAACATGGCCTTTCCCCCTCCCCACCCCACAGAAAATGATAGGACATTCATTGTGCAGTTCTAGTTTTATGGAGGCTGTTTTGAAAAGAAGGCCTTGTGAGCAACACTGAAACTTCCTTGTACAAGATTATGCCAGCATCAATCTCAGTTGCAATGTGCCCCCCACCCCCCAAAATATTATGCCAAAGAACACTGGGATCTTTGCCTCAAAGTATTTAACATACTATGTACCAAATCTGATGTTCAAGGTTTTGCTACAATCTGCACTTTCACAAGAAATACCATATTTTGAAAGGAGACAAATTTAGGAAACACAGCCAAAGAAAGGATAACTCCACTGTCTGAAAATTCCTAACTATGTAGGGTTGGCACTAGTCTGTCACCTAAGTAAAGAACTCCTACCCAATAATAATTTGGATTTTAATAGTTTACATCAGAGTAAAATTGCAAAATAATTAAATAAATCATAGAAAATGCATGTATCCCAGCAACTACCATTTGAGAAGATTATATCCCTTGTGATAGAAAGAAAATTGCCTCAAACACATTATTTACCTTTTATCATTTTAGAAGTACTTATATTAAAAAAATATTCCAGACTTAATTTAAATTTCAATTATCTGACCACCATACACTCCAGAAATTATTTTTTTAAATAACATTGTACTTTATTTCTTATACTTGACCACAAACCCTTAAATGCATGATAGTCCTTAGCCCAGTCAGTATGGCAGTCAATGTAGCTCCCTTTAGCTCAGTAGCAATATAAATTATAGCCAGTGTGAGTATTTTGAAAGTTCATTAATCAATTATGTGTAGGGATTTTATCTGTTAATGAGTGTGTGCATTTTCATGACTATATTTAATGAATAATTTGTAATTAATTTCAGTTAATTTTAAACTATTTTGCATATGTACAGTTACTTTTTATAAATTTAATTAAAAACCCAAAAACAAAAAGTGGCCCTAAAGCAATTGGCTCACCAGAAAAGAAACTGCTACTTCAACACTGTGACAGCTGCCTATGCTCAATTAAAATAATTGTATAGCTTGTAGTCTTTTAGTTTTAAAACCACTGTCAAGATGTAACAGTTCATGATTCAAGTCTTGATACATATACATTTTGGCTTGTACACATGTCAGGCAGAGAAAACAACCCTCTCACTGGCCCCTTCACAAATATGTGTTTCTGGGCTTTGATTCCAAGTTTCCATGAAGCCTCTTTTAACATTTGATGTTGTCCATATTCCCACAACTGGGCAAACGGCGATCTTATGTAATCTCCTTTTTTATGCTGAGAATCTTGAGATTAACCCAAAGGAGTAAAGATATATACTTTGATAGAAAGGATTCTCAGTCTAGGACTTTTTCTGATTATCAGAATGTAACAGAGCTCTGGGCCCTTCCACATTGCTATATACTCCAGAATATCTAGGCAGAAAATCCCGCAAAATCTGCTTTGAACTGGGTTATCTGCGTCCACACTGCCATATATTCCAGTTCAAAGCAGCTGTGTGGAAGGTGCCTTAGGCAAACCTACCAGAGGTTTTTTTTCCAAGATTTTTTCAGAGGTTTACTAAAATGCTACATTTAATAACAAATCCTCTAAGATTTCTCATGCAACAGCTGAAATTGAAGTAATCTCAATGCATTTAAAACTAAATAAAAATCTCACGATGGAATTTGTGAACTGTAGAGGGAATTTTAAAAAATAGCCCTCTTCAAAAACTTTTTACCATAAGAATAATGGGAGAGACTTCTTTACATGCTAAAACTGCCAATAATGCTGGTAAGTGGCCTGAAACGTTTTTCTATGGCACCTCAAAGATAGTCCAAAATATTTCCTATTCATATCTGATGAATGGAAACCAACTTCTCTGTGTACCAGTTCTTGAAAGACTTCCAGGTCATTTAGATATCTGTCTGGTGAGTTGCCTCCTTGATGCTAGAATGCTATTCACTACCGAATCAGAATATGCTTGATCCTTCAAATGCTGCCACTCAATACTCAGCAATTTGAGGTCTGACTGTAATATTAGTTGCCCAGGGTATTAGCTGTATGGTAAATACTGGCTGGACTTGGGCTTTTGCTAACTGCATTAAGTCCGCAGAGCTCAGTTGCAATAAGTTGCTTACTTCCTTTCTTATTTTGTGCTTCCTCTTGTCGGAGAGACACACAGTTTCTCTTTGTATTTGTCTGAACTTCTAAATGAAATGTTCTTGGTGTGCTCCAGTTGGCTTTTCTTCATGTTTACTAGAAATCTGTGTTCCTTTAATACCTCAGTGACTCCTCTAAATCCCCCTTGGCTTTGTTCCTGCATCTGCCTTCAGCATAATGTCATTTAAACACAGGAATAATGGAATGGTCTTCTGTCTGAAGTTTGCTATCAATGCCACTAACATTTTTGTGAGGACCCTGGGTCCAAAAGGAAGACAGCCCAAAAGGAAGAGACGTGAACTGATCATGCTCCTTGTGGCACTGCAATAAGGATATTCCTAGAATGCTTTTTCATCTGAATGTGCAAATGGGCTGCCTGAAGATCTATTAAGGCCATATAGTCCTTTAATTGTAAATTCTCTATTGTGGTTTGTAAAATTTCTATCTTGAAACACTTGTAATTCGCAAAGCCATCTAGGTACTTTGAATGTAGCATTGGACTATAAGAACCCATTGTGTTTGGGAATCATGAATATATAGCAAGCCCCTCTATATTTTTGGGCTTAACTTTTTCCGGATTTGATTATTCACAGGTTTGATTAACATGGGCTGAAGTTTGCCCATACCTGTCCTAGAGAACAACTTTATGACCAACTCCTGCTAGAAATACATTAAATTAATTAGGTTTGAATGTATTAAATTTAGAATACTCTTTATATATGTACTGTAACACAGATGAAGTCTGTTTATCTATGGACCTTAAAACCTGTCTGCTGGAAATTCATATTAGACTGAAGTCTTTCTTTTATATATACACACAATCTACTTAATTATTTTTTTGTCTTCCAGATATGCTAGCTTCCTGTGGCTAATGTACGTTAAGTTGGTGTTGTCCTGCTATTTTTCGCACTGCAGGTCTCTGTAATTGCTGTGTCTTGCTGTGTCTGCAGGTGTTGGTGCCGCTGTTGCTGGTTCTCTGTGTCTGTAGGAATTGTGATCAAAGTGTTTGCCATTAGCACTTGTAAATAGGAGATAAACTCACTTTCTGTATTTGCAGGGTGGAAAGTTACACTTGATGAGAGAATCTCCTCTATCTAAATGTACAGAAGGTTTGTTTAATGAGATCTGAAATGCCTATGCAGTTGTATGTAATCATTCAGTGCTTTTGCACCCATCCCATTGCTTACAGCTTGCACAAGATGTTCAATACCCATTTTTCCAACATGATGAATTTAAACGGCTGTTGGTGATTTTGATGCTGATCCAACATGTTTAGCTGACTTGATACTTCATTTAATTTACTCAATCGCTTATATTTGTCTTTTTGAGTCTTCCGAGGTACTTCCTCCCTTTTCCTTGCATCTTACCACCTGTTCTAATCTTTATTTTTGATTCTATTGTTGTGCTTCCTGTGCTACCAGTCCATCTGATTCACTGCCATTCAAAGAAATATTTTTTTTTTCCAACGGCAATTCTGACTCTTGATCACAGACTCACTAGAAAGTGGCCAACTGATCAGTTTTATTTTAATCAGTTTCTTGCTGTGAAAATGCATTTAATGCAATGCATTTAAGGGACAGGTCATCATTTGTTTGGCTTATTCTTTTCTCTGTGGACAAAAGCATGTCTCTTAATTTGGAATCAGCATGTGTAGCTTTTCTTTGCTTTAAGGCATCACTGGATATTGATAGCATTTCTGAATTTTAATACCTGGCTATGTGAATTTTGGAATATAGAACCATCTTAGATGTAGAGAGAAAACCTTGACCAGCTAGCAAGACAGGATTTTAAAAACTTATTTTAGTGAGAGGAACAATGTTTCCAGAAGAAGAAAAAATACCTAGATTCACACCTTTATTGGCTAGCATGAGGGGAAATCCCATAAGTGTGATTTTAATTATTCTTTTTAATAATTTATGTTTTGTTTGGTTTTAACTGTAATTGTTTATTGATATATGTATGAAAAGCATCAAATTGCTGCCTGTTGTAAAGTTGCTTAGATTCCCTTCCAGGGTGAGAAAGGTGGGATATAAATATGGCAAATAAACAAATAAATAAGCATTGATTAGTCAGAGGTTATCCAGAGAATGAATTCACTGCATCCTATAAATGTCCAGCAGAAAATCAGATATAGGCCTACTAAATAAAGGTTTTCTAAACATGATCTTCAAATATTTTAAATGCTGTTCACCACCTTATGAGTTGCATAGGTAGCATTGTGAGAAGCAACTAACATTGAGCAATGCCTGCATCCTGCACAATTCCCTACTTCTTACTCATAGCTATTATTTTATGTACTTCCAATTTCTTCCTTACATCTCATATACAGCTTCTTTTCTCATGCCTCTTGACTACTGAAGAAGTCCAACTTCCAACTGCATTGACAGCTAGACACCCCCTTTCATAATTTTTAGCTCTACAAAACAGAAAAAAGATGCTAGGAGCACATGCAACTTACGCATTGCAGTATGGCTTCTTCTCATAGCCTTTGTAGTTCTTCATGTTGAGGGTCATCTTGCAGACCTCACAGTGGAAACATGCTTTATGCCAATACTGGGGAAGATATAAGAAAGAACCATTAATATATAAAATTCTGACTATCCACAATTAAAGAATGTAATTTCCAGAAATACAATTAGCAGGTCTCTAGAAATTACACTGGAGAGAATTCTGCAGCTGTACCCCACAAGATCCTCCATGCATGTCTGTGTGGCTGTCTGTGTAACAAAAGTAATTTATTGGAATTACTCAACCCCAAAAAGATGGTTTTAAAGCAAGATAAACACAAGTATTACCAGTTTACATAATTTAGATAATGGTAACAAGATTGTATCCTATCGTCACACACTGAACCGTACAAGAAATGCTTGTAATTCACTATCTGGCTTCAGCAAAAACTTTCTTCCTCAATGCAAAGTTGTCACTGCACAGAAGTATAATCCATACTCCTTGAAGATCTTTATTTCATTGCAAAGAAGAAACCAAATTCCATTTCCCATCTGATCTTGGAGACCGGCTGTTCTGCAAGATTGTTGTAAAAGCAGCAATTCCTCTAAAAGGAATATTTATTAGGTTTGTGCACGGATACGTTTTGGCCATTTGCCTTCGGCTTGTTCAGACACCCGTAATGGCAAGGGCTCTGCTGCCATGTTTTTTCCGACCGAGACAGGCCACGTGGTTGCCAGTCACGACTACCTTCTGTTCTATTCGGGATCACGCAGCATGCAGAGAGGTTTCCCTGTGAGCCCTGCCTGTTGGGCCAATCAGAATAGAAAAAAGCCATGGCGTATCTTAAGCAAGCTGTGTCTATTTAATGGGGCAAGCTCCTTCATTTCTCCGTTGTGTCCTGACTCTAGCGAGAGGTGCTTCAGTCTATGTGCCTTGCTGCTCGCTCTCAACTTTAGCATTTGGCTTGGCTTCTAGCATTGAAACTTCTCAATTTTCCTTTATTTTCTTGATTCCTTATTTAGTGGTGTGGGAATTGGAAAGTGTGGGTGGGTGCGCAACATTTGGGGAGTTGTGAGTGGGCGTGCTTTTCTTTTAGGGTTGCTCTGAGCTTTGAGTCACCCTTTAGCCTTCACATTATCTCTCCTCCTTCATCTCTTTCAGAAACTACTTTTAAAAGATTATTGTTATAATAATTATAAGAATTCCAGCAAACACCAAAGCCTCATTCTGAGAAAGCTACCAACCCACCTACTGAAACTTACCATCAATACATAATGATTTCTTTCTTTTGTAATCTCACCACAAGTTCTCTCAATTGTTTATATTTCTCTATGTGCTCTACCTTCTTAATTCCATTTAATAATAATAATAATTTGTATGCTTCCACTTAATAATAACAATAAAACTATTGGGCTTCTGTGGAAGCTTTCCCAAGCCAACAGAACCCATAGTCTCTAACTCCAACCTGCATGACATAAAATATTGTTGTTGTTATTATTTGTACTATACACTCCAGTGGACCATACAGGAGTGTTTTTCTACTAAGGGGACATGCTGCTTTTTTGCTTGCTTGTGGATGGTGGGCTGCTGGCCTCTTACAATATGTTGTGAGAACAAGGAATGCAAAAGTTTTAGAAGACGTTGCTGTGTTTTATGAGTAAAGAAAGTGTAATAGTGAGCTGTGTGATGTGGAAGTGGTTCTCTGATATTTGGCAGGAAGGAATGTTGCCCTGCTGCTGCTCCTGGAGAAGTTATAGGGTGGGGCCAGCGGGGGACATATTTTTGGGAATTTTTAAAAGATTTCATTTCTAGCAAGAAAAGAAATTCCTAAAAATCAGAGGACAACCCAAATGCACAAGCCTAGTATTTATATAATCCAATGCGAAAATACAGAAGAATTCTACACAAAAACAGGTGGTACTAAACTGACAACTACAACTATTTTGACATCAAGTGGAAAAAACATAGCTGTTTTCACTGTGGAGAATTCTTTTGAAGGTAAAACTTTGGAGTTGGTGAGCAAGAATGCAAGATTTACCTCTGCATTCTGAAAATCCACACTAATTTCTTCCAAATTTTGCAGTCTAAAAAGGTAACTGTTTACATCAGAATCCCACTGATAACTTCAAATAACTGAAAGCAATTGTTGAATGAGCCAAGACTACTCATGGGATTGAACTTTCATGAAAACTATGTATTTAACAAAAAAAGTCTCATTTTATCTCAAATTCACTTTAAATTCCACAGGCCTTTTGTGAGATTCTAATTCATATCATTGGTTGGAAGAAACATATGAGGCATCAAGGGGGATGTTTAGTATCTATGCCCGAACTATAATTATACTTGCATTTAGAATTACACATACTTTGAAAAATGCATTAGATTATGACTTTGAGACCAATAATTTTATATAAAATATCTCTTCTTTCCTTAAAGAAGAAAGGTTCAGAAATAAGATAACTATCTGAGAAAAATCAATCTATGATATTAACAGGGAAGAACCAGAATCTCTTAATTCTTCAAGTTCGAAACAAAGAGATTTGTGATCAAGGTCTCAGAATGCCTCCTTCCCCAGCAGGAGAAGAAACCGTGATTATACTACAGGTATGGATTTCTAAATCAACCTACTACCTCTTATAAGCTTGATTATTAATATACAAATTGAGCATCACTTATCCAGAATCCGGAATAATTAAAAAATCAAAATTATCCACATGACTGGTTTAGATACAGAAACTTTTGCTTTCTGGTGTCTTAATGTGTACAATTTTTGTATAATTTATCATTTTTGAACAAATTAGAAATACTGTATAAAATTACTCGGACTATGTTTCATATTTGAATTTCCTATTTAAACTTGGGCCCCATCTTCAAGATACTTCACTGGATTTTAGATTTTGCAACACCTGTATTTATAACAACCCGTTATATGCCTGTTCTCACCGCCTATTGTTTTGTTATTGTTATTTTTAAAGTTAATTGTATTGTTTTAATCTGCTTCTGTAAATTGCTCTGAGCCAAATTGGGAGTAGCGGTATACAAGTTAAATAAATAAATAATATATAAATAAATAATATATATGTACATGTATACAGGTATTCCATATACCGGTATTGCTTCAAAATCCAAAAAAATCCAAAATCCAAGATACTTCTGGTCCCAAGGATTTCAGAGAAAGCATAGTCAGCCAATACTTCCTTACCTTACCTTAATCAATGAAGGCTAAAGATTTGCTCAAAACAAAAAACAAGAGTTCTGTTGAAACTATTACATACTGTGACTTTAATACAACAGAAGTACAACTTAATGCCGTACCATTAAAAAATGTTGACCATTTCCACTACCTTGGCAGCTACCTCTCCACAAAAGTCAACACTGACACTGAAATACAGCACCGCCTCTGGTCCCTATCTTCAAGAAGGGAAAAAAGGACAAGCCAAACAATTACAGTTTGGGCAGCCTCATGAAGACACCAGGCAAGATTCTGGAAAAGATCATTACGGAAGTGGTCTGCAAACACTTAGAAACGAATGCAGTCATCACTAATAATCAACATGGATTTATCAAAAACAAGTAATGCCAGACTAATCTGATCTCTTTTTTCAATATAGTTACAAACTGGATAGTTACAGGGAACACCGTTAGGTGGATCTGTAATTGGATAAGTGAACGAACCCAATGGATGCTCACTAATGCTTCCTCTTCATCCTGGAAAGAAGTGACGAGTGGGGTGCCGCAGGGTTCCATCCAGGGCCCAGTTCTGTTCAACATCTTTATTAATGACTTAGATGAAGGGTTAAAAGGCATGATCATCAAGTTTGCAGACAACACCCATGGGGGGGGGGGGGGTTGCCAATACTCCAGAAGACAGGAGCAGAATTCAGAATGATCTTAACAGGTTAGAGAGATGGGTCAAAACTAACAAAATGATGTTCAATAGTGACAAACGCAAGATGCTTCACTTAGGCAGAAAAAATGAAATGCAAAAATACAGAATGGGGGACGCCTGGCTCAACAGCTGTACGTGAGAAAAGATCTTGGGAGTCCTCATGGACAGTAAGTTAAACATGAGCTAATAATGTAATGCGGCAGCTAAAAAAACCAATAGAATTCTGGCTTGCATAAATAGGAGTATAGTGTCTAGATCCAGCGAAGTCATGCTATCCCTCTATTCTGCCTTGGTCACACCACACCTGGAATCCCACTGTGTCCAATTCTGGGCACTGCAATTGAAGCAAGATGTTGACAAGCTGGAATGTGTCCAGAGGAGGGCCACTAAAATGATCAAGGGTCTGGAGAACAAGCCCTATGAGGAGCGGCTGAAAGAGCTGGGCATAGTTAGCTGACAGAAGAGAAGGTCGAGAAGAGACAAGATAGCCATGTATAAATATGTGAGGAGAAGTCACAGGGAGGAGGGGGAAAGCATTTTTTCTGCTGCCCTGGAGACTAGGATGCAGAACAATGGCTTCAAGCTACAGGAAAGGAGATTCCACATGAACGTTAGGAAGAACTTCCTAACTGTGAGAGCTGTTCAGCAGTGGCATTCTCTGCCCCAAAGTGTGGTGGAGAACCTTCTTTGGCTGGATGGCCATCTGTCGGAGGCGCTTTGAATGCGATTTTCCTGCTTCTTGGCAGGGGGTTGGACTGGATGGCCCACAAGGTATCTATCAACTCTATGATTCTAAGTCTAACATGCTGTAACTGCCACAACTCTATTTAACCAAGATCTATGGGTAAATTTATTTCTCCTTTGGAACACCCACATTTAGTAACCTGGAGCCAACTAATATGGAAATTCTGATGTGAATGAGAATGCCACACCCAATATTTAAACACAGCCACAACCCAGAACACATAATAACGCAATGCTGAAACACAAGGAGACTGCCTCACTTTGACTGCCCAGGGCAACGTATTTGCACCTTTGATTTTTTTCTTGAAGGATTACAATTTTGTTTTACTTATACCAAAAGGCCCTTCTGGTTGTATCAGGCAAAGTCTGTTCTTCACTCTACTGGTAACGTAATCAGATTTGAGACTTGACTTTATTGCCCAGATATAATCTTAAATGCATAGAAATGAGACCCCATTTCAACCTTAAAGCA